CAAGGTGGCTTGCTCGCTACGAAGCTATCAAGACCATTGTAGATCAGTGGGAGGAATTACTTTTATTGTTTAGATTAGCAAAGGAACAAAATAGATGTTTTTCTGCAGAGCAGCTGTATAACATTATGAAAGTTAATGCTTACAGACTGTTCGTGATATTTTTAAAAAATGTTTTAAAACAAGTCTGTGATGTAAATAAGTTATTTCAAAGTGATCATGCTGATCCTTTGAAATTATATCAAGATTTATTCTTACTCTATAAATTAATATTATGAAAAATTATTGTACCAACTATTTTTGAAAAAGTAAGAGACCAAGATCTCATAAAGTTAAACTTTCAAAATCACCTAGTTCGTGTCAACAGTGTTGACTGGGGATATGAATTTAACATTTTTAGTTCAAATGTTTCTGAATCTGAGTATAGTGATGTTAAATACCAATGCAGAGCCTTTATTACAAAGTTGCGTACACAAATTCAACAACGTTTACCAGAAAATCTTATAATTCTAGAACAATTGAGTCAACTGTGGCAACATCACAACAAAAGCCACCAATTCTTCCAATTATCATCACTTTTTTATTTGACCGAAACAGTGTCTGAATGGCAAAATATTCAAAATAAAGTATGGAATAATTGTGACAAAACAACTGATTTTTGGATTGAAGTTTTCGAGGACACTTATTCAGCGGGAAACCCAAGATTTAGAAATATTGCTCACTTAGCATTGAAATGTTTGTGCCTTCCAACTTATAATGTAACTGTTGAGAAGGGTTTTTCAATCCATTCAATTATAAAATCAAAATTAAGAAAAAGATTGGCACAAGCTATTTTAGCAACTAGGTATTACTTTTTAAGAAATGAAATAACTTGTGCCAATTTTCAACCATTACCAATAATAGAAAAATGATAGAAAATTGAATCAAAAAATGTATGACCACATTAATTCTCAATTTACAAATGTATCCGAAGAATTAAATGATGTCATTAATGTTTTTCAAGATATTTAATTTTCATAATGAATGGTTCTCTTTTAATGTTTTAAAAGTTTTGTAATTCATAAAAGAATAATAAAAGATGTTTTAAATTATAATTTCAAAAAATTAGGGTTTTTTAGGGTGGAAAAATATTTTTATGGGTTTTTTACGGAGTTTTTCCACCAGATCGTGGGCGTAAGCATCTGGGTCTTGGCAACAGTGGATTAGCGCTTTGTCGCCTAGGAACGCATCCCCCGCGTTACTGTACAGTAATTTGATTTATGATCATTTTACAACTTGGTCGAACTGTATTGCGTTTCTCTTTAATAATAACGCTGCAATGCTGTAAAGATATAATATTTCAATCTAACACAAATTGAAATTTTGTTTAGTAAATAAATTCAAATTGCCATTTTTATTCGATAATATATGATTTTGGGGCTATTCTCTAAATTTATTTATACGAAATGATTTTAAATTTTGAATTGAGATGGAAATCCCATATTTGTGCAGCAATAAATTGTACGATTCTGGGTTTTATAAGTATTTTTTTCTTCTGGTTACGTGAAAGTTAATATATTTACTGTACTTAATTTCTAGTGTACAGTAAAACCCGTCCAAAACGGAACCCGAATAAAGAGGAACGGAAAAAGATTTTTCGGAACGGAGCCGTTTTCTACGTTAATTAAAAGAATCTGTTCAAAATGGAAACCTGTCAAACCGATAAAATAAGGTATCGTGCGATTCCAGTTTACGCAGGATTTACTATATACTTTATTCGGCTCGCGAAAAAAAGAACTACGGAAGGAATGTTGATAGGATTTACCATTAGTATCGATTATATACGTACAGATTTTTTTGACAGCCGCAACATCGATGTCTCCATACAAACTATTTCACAATCACTTATTGTACAGTACAATAAATTATATCATACGCGGGCGCACATTGCACACTGTGGGTGTCTAACAATTAAGATTGAAATTAATTGTACAAGATGCGTTTTTGTTTTTTAGAACAGCTTATTAACGCTTGGCCAAAACACATTGGTGCAGTAGGAAAAAATCTTAGAATAATTCCCGATACTGTCTCGAGTGTGCGGTTTCCAATTTCCTGAGACTTTTACTTCAAAATTCAAACGCTAGGAGAAAAATTGGCGCCGCTTTCCGCTAATTAACATTTTGCGTCATTTTCGGCAGTTAAAGTGATTACATTTATTTATTATGTAAGTTACCGATATGGAAGGTGCAATTGAACATTACATCAAAAATATGGTTGTCTCTCCATTTCCATACTCTAAAAACTGCATTCAAATACGAATGTCACGAATTGGAGATGCTTTCGCTGGAATGCATTTCTTGACCGAACTGCAAGATTTTTCGCAGTATTTTCCAGTCGTACAGGGCGTCTAATTATCGTGATATTGCACATGCATTACTGCTTCCGTGCTCCACATCAACATTCTTCCATTTTCAGACGTCGGTTCGGTTTGCGATCCCATCTTGCGTTTTGAGGAAAGTTTCTCTCCTTAAAACGTAAAATTATTTTCTGAAGATTCCTAATAGTCACACCCTTTTAATGCCAAGATGGCATTGACGTTTCACTGATAGAATCTAACAAGAAACGCAATGGGGCCAGGCAAAATTGCGAACGTTTTGAGACTATTTATACGCTAAATTTTAACGAATTTAGGGTATATTCATATTTCAGTAACATCGGCACCAAATTTCGTCCTAGCGCTAGAATTTTCAAGTTTTTCCTGTATGGTATGTATTGTCTTCAACGGTAGCATTCTTTTTTGCTATTATACATTCATACCGTATGGCTGGGATTATCTAAGAATTTAAATGTATTTTTTAAAATGGTGATGATAATGTATAGCTGTATAGCTTTTTTTTAATAATTGCAAAATTTACAAATATATTTTTCTTTAATAACAAAGTAATACAAAATATAAAATTATTAGGATAAAAATATGCAAAGTATGTAAATCATTAATATTTACAGTGATATTCTGTGAAGTATGGACATTATTAAGAGATAATATATTTTTAACGAAAGTGCAGAAAAAACTTCCCCAAAATTTAATGCTTTTGATCACTTTAAATCAAATTTTATTTCTTGACATTGGCATATTTCTCTAACCTTAAGTAGAACTAGCTTATGACAATGCAATATAATTTCACATACTGTAAACTTTTTTTTTACATTTGTACTTGTTTCACAAAATTATCATTGTTATCAGTGTAATAATTTATCAGATCTGCTACTATAATCTTTTCCTATGACTCATCATTCAATATAAAAACTTGTTTTTAAGTTGCTGCTTATTTTACAATTCATATGGAATACATAAAGAGGGATGTGTACTTTCACTCATTTGTTTGTAAATAAGCTGAGAGAATGAAGATATCCACTGTCAGTGATCCACCAAGAATTTGTTAAATTATCATTTCTATCAATAGTCATCTTTCCTGACTCACTTCACAAATATATATGTTTTAAAATATTAAAAAAAATTCATAACTTAACACTTACACCTATTAAGGCCATTTCAAGTAATTGCACACTAATATCTATTATCACATCACATCTATCACAAATATCTATTATGCTCTTCCATTCTTTTAAATCTTGAACTCACTCATTTTTCCATTATTTTTGTTTATTCTTTTGCCTTTTAACTCAAAGTCTTAGAATACTGAAAGAGCAAAACCTATATTTTATAAGATTTAAAATTAATTTTATTCCTAGTTTCACCAGCAATTTTTTGACTATTTTAACTTAAATAAATTCTGATTAAATAAAATAATAAAATTAAATAACTAATTTTAAAGTAACAACATTCAAATTTAATTAATAGAAAAATTAATAAACAATTTAAGACTATACAATAACAAATCTTTTAATGTCGGAAGGAAGTCCTGTAACGTTTTTTCGTAGCGAGGTGGACGAGCAGCCTCTAATAAAAGATAAACTCTGCCGTAGACTTATTTTCCGAGGTGTCGGAAAGGACATCAAAGGCTCGTCATTGTATAGTCTTAAATTGTTTATTAATTTTACAATTATTGTCCTGGCAATTTTATCAAATTAACAGGCTTTGCTTAGAAAAAGATTAATTCAAGTTAGTACAGTTAAATAAAAATAAGTAATTTGTAATATACAGAAAACCTTCAACAATGTAACCAAATCTACAGTTAAATGATCAAATGAGGCAAAAGGATAATTATAACACAAAGTTCCAATATCATGTTACATTATAACATCTTAATGCCATTTCTTACTTTGGTACTAGACTTTTTTGAGTCTGACTCTTCACACTGTATTCACATCTTTATGGTTATGTTCTGTTAAGTTTGGAAGTTGTATCAGCAGATTCAAAAAAATTGAATACCAAAATAAAAAATGACCTTTATCAGAGTGGCATTGAGATGTTACAATCACGCAATTGACTTTTTTAATTTAATTTTTTTTAAAATTGGATTAATACTGTCCAGATGAACTAGCTTGAATGGGAAATGTTTTAAAGGTTACATAATAACCAGCTTGATGCAAACCTTTAGCGCAATTAGGAATATGATCCAGGTTACCCTCAAATTTACATCATCAAAATTTTGGTATACAATTTGAAGACAAACTCACAAAAGTTTTATTGGAAAATTCCAAATACTTCAAACTTAACTGTCAGATTCTGTTTTCTATATTCTACATTTCTATGAAAAACATGAATAAAGGATAAATAAACTATTGTTTTGCATATCTTTATACATTTTTAATAGATAAAATATAATTTAANTAATGACTGACATAATTGTAATATTTTAAAATGGTAGCATTCATTTTGAAAGAAAAATGCAACAACTGTTACATTTTTCTTCTTTTTTTACTTTCTTTATACACAGTTATATATATTTTCAAATAAATTTATTTACTAGCAAAAGCTTAACAAATGTTATATCCAGTTATAGCTAGAATAATATTAGTGATAAATTTTTTAAATTAAGGAAATATGATGCATATCTAACCAGTTATGTAATCTCCCTTTTTCTTTTTCTTTCTCTTCTTTTTTATCTTGTTTTCTTTCACAAGATTCTTCAGTCTAATCAACTCACGTAATTTACGTGGAATTTCTTGATCTTCGTTTGGAGGAAGATTTACAGCATTTGGTTTCCTGAAATAATTTATTGGTAAAAGTTAAATTTAGGTCATTTATTTATTATACACATCATTTGGGTATAAATTTGTTAGATGGTTGGTTAGGTTTGGGATGTATGGTACAAGGGCCTTAGTAAGCCAAAAAGTACCAGGTCTAGGCATTTGGGTATTTGAATATTCTTCTGGCTGTTTTAAGAATCCATAAATCTTTCTATTATATATTCCATTTAGAGCTCAAAATATAAGTTTTTTGCTTGAAGATAGGCCATAACAGATTAAATTTGTCCAGTGTCACCTAGTAACATACAAAGAATTTTGTTGTCACCTGGAAATATTTGTTGTTGGAAATAATCTTTGCTTGTTTTATATTGGGGACAGGTTAGTAGTATGTGTTGAACCATAAGTGGAGTATGAGAAGGTGAGCATATTAATTGTAAATTTGGATATTCTTCATTATCAGATAGCTATTTGAGTCATAATTGTGAACACTCCTCAGTCAAGCAAGTACAATTTCCTCTTTTCAGTTTTTCTGCTGGCTAATTGTGAGAGATTCTGGAATACCCCTTAAAGTTGCTGTGTCCTGTAAGCAGCCGAGTGAGGGTGTAACTAGGGTAAAAGTGGCAAAGAATCACAGTAGTGTCAACCTTGGGGATGAAAGTGTAGGTGAGCCTATCAGTGGTGTCATGGTCCCAGTTGTCTTGCCAGAGAATGAAGATTTGCTTCTTGATGTACAAGGTAGGAATATAACTGAAAATACTAGTGACTAAAGACTTTGCAGCTTGTTTGGCAAGATGGTCAGTGGTCTCGTTGTCAAGAACCCCACATGGACCAGGGATCCTATTGGAAATCTATTCTAATGTTGTTGTCTAAGTGTCTGAGAATGTGATGTACGAGATGGCTGAGTTTTAAGTGGCTATCAGACTTCGCAATCCTGTGTAAAGCTATCTTATACCCTGTTCGCACCAAGCATTTCGATCTAGATTGTGACTAAGGTCAGAGCCAGTTCCGCAGTGCAAACACTCTCGACCGTTTCAATCTTGACTGAAACAAGGTTCAATCGCGATCGACTGGAGAGAGTTCTTGAAACTAGATCCAGTCATAAGAGAGATCCCACAATCCCACGCGCGCGAGAAAATACAAGATGGCTGCGGAACACGTGTCCGGCTATCGATAGAGAAATAAAAAAGACAGCTGGAGAGACGACGACATCTGTCTATTATTAGATGTACGGCAAGAAAAAGTATTTATTTCTAACCAAAACTTCCATTTTGTTTGTTGGTGTTTGTGACTTACCGCATAGTTACGTCAGTTTTATCATCGCGTGTAATAGCCAGGTTCTTCTCGAGCGGAATGCCTGTGACGTTCGACAGCACGATGTTCGACTAGCGACGGTCACAATGCAGATTGTGGGTAAATCGAGATCGAAGTGAGTCGTGGATTGTGTGCGAACGTAGAATTACTGTCATAATAAATGCAATAGTGTAAGTAGTGTCTTTTGTCCTTCCTAAGCCCAATGTGAATTAAGCTCATATAAACAGCTAAAGTTTCTGCCTATATTATTGAGCAGTGTGTACCTAGACAGAAGCAAACATTGTGAAGCTCACAGCCTAAGTCAGAGTAAACTACAAAAGCAGCACCCACTTCATCACCCATCTTGGAACCATCAATGTAAATCCTAAACATGGGATGATCACCTGGATCTTCGAAGTAAATGTCAGGGGCAAGCTGATGAGATGGGTGGTAATCATAAGTTGGGAGGGTATTTTTGTCGATGCTGAATTCTTTGATATCACGGATCAAAGTCAAACTGGGGGAAATCTTATCTACTCTAATCATTATGTCTCTAATCATCTTGCTGGAGTAAGGTAACAAGATCTTTCTGCCAAATAATGCATTTAATTTCTAAATCAATAGGGGGTCAATCCTGACATTACCAAGAGGGCACTAGTGGGAGCAGTCCTATAAGCCTTACAAATGTGGAGAGCTGCAATTCTTTGAACAGATAACAGTTTTTTACGGTTATGGACTTTGGTGGCAATGTGGCCCCAGACCTGTACAGCATAGAAGAGTGCTGGCTGAATTGCACCCCTGTAAATAAGCTTAGTAACATTAGGGCCAAAGCCCCATGTGTTCCTAGCAATACTAATGAGGATGTTGGCTGTCTTTTTAGCTTTGTCCGTGATGTATTTGATGTAGGGTGAGAAGTTAAATCTCTCGTCAAGAATAACACTTAAATATTAAATTTTCATCGTTTGTTTTATTCTGCAAGCACCTATTTGAAGGGTAAGCTTCCTGACGAGTGGCGCATTCCTACCAACTATCATGCTTTCACATTTGTCTGTGTTAATTGGTTGCCTATGTTTAATACTCCACTGTTGAATGTTATTGAGAATGTCCTGTAAGTATTCACTGTTCCTGTGTGAAGCTAGGATAATTGTATTATCCACAAAGCCCTGTATGCAATAGCCAGGAGGCAGGGTGTCGTTTAAGTGCAGGATAGAGTTATAGGCTATCTTCCAGAGACCAGGACCAGACCTGGATATCTGAGGACAGCCCCAAGTGATGGGTATGATTATGTTATTTTGTGTTGTATAAAGAACTGCACTCCTGTCACTAAGATAGGACTGAAGAAACTACACCAACTGAAGAAGAAGGACTGAAGAAGTTTGTAAAGATTTTGAGGGCGGTGATGAACATATAATGTGTGCAAAATGGAAGGCCACCAGGCATGATCAAAAGCACCTCTAAAGTCAATAGTGATTATTGCCGTATGCTGATTAAGCTTAGCCTGGTGGATGGCATCTACAGTACCTTTGTTTTTAGAGAAGCCAAACTGATTCTGGTGCAGGACACTACACTTGTGTAGATGCCAAGTGATCCTATTAATCATTAGACCATCTAACACATTTCCCAGAGTTGGGAGAAGGCAGATCAGTCTGTATTTTTTTTTATAAGTGTTAGCACTGGTGGGTTTGGGAATCAATTTAACACTGACCTTTTTCCACTGAGTAAGAAAAAGGTCAGTGTTCAAGCAGATATTAAAGAGAATAAACGCTGTAGGATTGGCCTCAAAAGCTGGTTTAATCATTCTAGTGGTTATGCTGTCAAGGCCTGGAGCTTTGTCATCAGCGAGTGAACAGATGGCATTTGAAACCTCGACATAGGCAAAGTTACAGTTGTTGTCCGCGTTAGGCAGAGCAAACGTAGAACTTCTGACAACTGCCTCCATACTGTCACCCTGCCACAGGTCATCCGAAGGGTAAAGGCTAGTGAGAATGTGCATGATAATTTCCTCCATGTTGTTAGTGTAGCGATCATCGGGAGCTGGATAGTGGAAGGGGTTTGGCGTTGGTGTTTTTCCTTACAAGCTTAGTAGTATGGTTTTACTGTCACATAGTATAAATTTGTATATACTGTATATTTATCATATACAGGATACAAAGTAAAGGTCTTATACACCCACAGAACTGACAAACATAAACAGTTAGTTGTAAACATAAATTTATGGTAAAGTGACTACGCACTACAAGATGAAACTATTTGCAGCACCCCTAGTGGTAAAATTCTGAAGTTAGCAGTTCTATCTCAAATATTATGCACAATACAGAAAAAAGTTAATTACAATTACAAAGTTGTAGAGCATGACTGATTTAAATTAGTACAAAGGGGCATCTTGCATACACGAATACCGTGGATAGAAAACTTGAAACGTTATTGAGCCAATATAATAAAATGTGTATTACAAATGAACTTAGCAAATACTGGAGGAAATATAATTCATCACACATAAAAACCTTCTTTCTAAAAATGTGTATTTCTCATGTGTTCATACATGTGATCTCATTCATTTCTCATGCATTTATAACACATATATTTCTCCAGTGGCGTGCCATCATTAGAAGCGTTGGAAGCGCCACTTCCCTCATATTCTCTAAAAAATAAATAAATATTAATTTTAATTATATGAAAATAATCGCACAATATTTTATTATAACCGCATTATGTATCTTATTACAAATTTCTA